ATTTTTTTCATTTGGTACTGCACTTAAGAAGCTACATAAATATTTAAATGTTTCCCAGAAGGCAAAATAAGTACAATTTACCCTGATCATCCAATTCAAAAAGTTTACATTCCCCCCAGATCTTAATGCATTGTGTTGCCTTTTTGAGCATTAGTAAATGTTTTTACCTTATATAATAGTTATGTATGAGTCCCCCAATTGTCCTCCATGTGAAAAGATGGATCTCAAAATCATACAGTCACTTGGAAAGGGTTCAAATATGCAGAAGATGCTGGAAAACCAAAGAATGTGCAGGAGCTGGAGGATTTTTCTGAAGAACAGCAGGCAGTTGAACTGCTCAGGAGCAACAAGGGACTCATGAACAACTATCACAAAACAGAAAAACAGTCGTGGATCATCCAGGAAACAACCCGGATTATTAAGATTCAAGGGTATGTAAACTTTCGAACGGGGTCATTTTTTATAAATTCAGTTATTATTTTGTCTTGTTGAGTATATATAAACATCTGTTATGTGAAATAGCTTATTCAGCAGAGAACTAAATAAACAATAACATGCAATTTTCATGATCCCTCTTATTTAGTTCAAATTATTAACATATTTGCATTCTGCAAGGGGTATGTAATCTTATGAGCACAACTATATATGTATATATATATTAGATATTAGATATCTTGAGAATATAAAATAAATTGGTAACACTTTACAATAAGGTCCCAGCAGCTATCATTATTTAATGCATTAATTTGCAATGTGCAGTACATTTGTTACAGTATTTCTTCTTCTTTGTTATCATTAGTTAATAAAATACAACTGTTCATTGTTAGTTCATGTTAGCGCGGGTCCATTAAATAAAATGAACAGATACAGCTTTTGATTTGAATAATATGTTAGTAAATGCTGAAAATGACATTATGTAAGATTAATAAATGTTGTAAAAGATTATTTGGTAACACTAATACTTAAAGCCATTATAAATAACTGTAACCAAAGTTAAAATGCATTATAATATTTGAAGGTTAGTTTGACACTTTTTTTTTTTTACAGGTGTAACAGTGAATAGATTAGTATTACAATGTATTATAACTGTGGTTATAATTATTCTTAAGATCATACAATGCATTATTAGGTGCATTACAATGCATAATAAATGCATTAAAACTACGCTTATAATGCATTATACATAAAGGCTTTAAGTAAAGTGTTACTGTTATTTTTATGTTAACTAATGTAGTTAATTGTTGTTAGCAAATGGAACTTTATTGTAAAGTATTGCCAATAAAAATTATAAAAACTCTTTCATTTGGGAACTAATTCTCACTATTAAGTATGACATTTGCCTTAATAAAATCCTAATTTGCTGCTTATTAATAGTTGTTAAGTTTAGGTATTAGGTAGCATTAAGGGATATAAAATATGGTCATGCAGAATAAGGCATTAATATGTGCTTTATAAGTACTAATAAACAGCCAATATGCTAGTAATATGCATGCTAATAAACAAAGTTAATAGTGAGAATTGGTCCCTAAAGTCTTATAAAAAAAATATAAGATATATAGCAGAAAAAAATAGGCCAAAAATATTGTGCAATATATGAACTAATAAAATATTAAATAAAATGATGACAAGGTATTTGTCATAATTTATGTATCATAATGGTGTTTGTATAAGATTAGGTGATTCCCCGATTGATTTCTGAGTCTGGACTCGATACAGAAAGCTTCCGACTTTTGCAGAGTTATGATAGGTGCTGTTATTGTTCGGAGGCAGTAAGGTATGCCGAGCTGATTGAGTAGAGTGGATGTTTAATTAAGTTGATGAGTGCTTTAATTGACGGCATAAATTGCATGCCTGTGAATATGATCCGTCATATTCCATTTGAGTTTTATGTAGATGAACACATTACTTTAATGGCCTTCCGTTTTACAGCACTGGAGGGGGTGCTAGGAGAGAGCGAGACGGGGGGTGAGGGAGGTTAGGAGGAGGGTACGAGGGAGGCTCCCACCGTTACATTTCTACAGCAGCCAGATGGCTTTTCTTGCAAGAGAATTAAAAGATGTTTCTAATTCACAGCGTTGCCTCCTGTGTAAATTAATATTGCAAGGCCGAATCGTTTCTGTTTTGGTAGAATCCGAGACAGAAAGAGAGAGAACAAAAAATCATTTTGTCTGGATAAGCAGGAGATTCCACTAGCAGATTGTTGCTCAGGTAAACGGATCCATATTTGAGATGCTGGGCGGCAGCTCTTGAACAGCGGCCCATGTTAATTGACTGCTTGGGAAAGCAAAAACTATAATGGCTTATTATTAGTCATGAACAGGGATGAACAGAGAGAGAGAGAGGAGCCTGCAATCATTACCTGCATGATAAAGAGGCATTAATTAAGCAAAAGAACAATGTTGTAAAAATTAGCTGCTTAATATTTGTAAATGATTGCGCTTTTCTTAAATACATTAGCTTACAGTCTGAGGTTAAAAACAAAATGTTTATTCTGTCTGGTGAGATATTGCATTCTGAATTTAGCCTGTGATCAAATGCAATAATTATCTATCTATCTATCTATCTATCTGTCTATCTTAACTTTTAATGCTGTGTAGATACTAAATTATTTAGTTATTTAAAATGTATTGTCCATTTTAAAACCAGGCCGTCTGATGCATTTTGCACACAAAACAGGTACAAACTGGCTGAAATCACAGGCTTCAATCTGACTGGCTGCCTTAACATAATTTCCACATTGGTTGGAACATACAAGTGCATACAAAGAGCACTTTTAAAGAATAAATAGTCACTAGCAATCACACATTTATTTAGGGAAATGTGGTTTAGGGCTGTCGAGCACAAGGAGTCTTCCTGGTTAAATTTGAGGTTACTGTTCACAAATATGTGTGGGCAAAAATTAGTCATTTTCATAGGAATCCACTTGATCTGGAATTTTGCATAAGCATGAAAGATTTCCCATCTTGTTGTACAGGCTGATTCTTGGCGCTGACCAACAGAAAGCCGTTTGGTTTGAAAGTGACTTCTGTGTGAGTTGTTCATCGTAACATGAAATAGGCAAAAAAATAATAATAGACAATGGTCTTTTCTTTGCCGACAAAATTTTGCTGAAATTTTGCTACAGTGTCCGAACCTTAAAGTGCCTCTATTATGCCATTTTTAAGGTTCCTAATATTGTTTTGGGAGTCTCATATAATAGGTTTACATGCATGCAAGGTCAAAAAATGCTTTAGTTTTCTCAAAATATGCATTTGATATCACCTAATTTTCCAATGATTCTTAAACGATTCGTTCAAAGCAGTTCTAAGATTCACTCTCTCTAAACCCATCCTTTCCGTGAGCCTACTCTGCTCTGATTGGTCAGATGGCCCAGTCTGCTGTGATTGGTCTACTGCGTACAGCGTGTGTCGGAAAGGATACGCCCATTGCCATAGTTCCGTATTTTGAATGCTCGATAGAAAATATAAACTTCTATTATTTATTATACTTACAGGTTTTGATTCAGTGGAGCCAGCTGGTCCAAATAAACTGGGTACTGAGCCATCTTTCAGGAGCAAGTGTTTTGTGAATCCCACGTTGAACTCCCCAAGATTACAGAAGCAGTCGTCAGTAAAATGACAGGAACACAAAAAAGATTGAGGTTGTACTGCTGTGGTACAGTGAAAAAAATGCATTTTAACCACTGATTCTTTGCAGCCTCATCTTTCAGAAGTGAAAATAAAACAAATTTATTTTCACATCATAGGACAAAGTGTCTTCTTGTCATGAGGTTATCCACATGAACAAGCTACAGTAGACGGGTTTCCATCCAAAGTTGCGAATTTAACTTATGCGCAAAATTGAAATATCGCATAAAACATTTACGAATAAGCACCGCTTCCATCCAACGTGTCAAAGAGAACAAAATCGTCACTTCCTGGTAGAACTGGCGCTAGGTTATATATCACTTTGGAAAGTAGGAGAAACCCCTGAATATAATAATTTTCATAGGCCTATATAATAAATTACTTGCGCCTCAGAGCGAGCAGACGAAACAAAATAAATGCGGTCATTGCTTTCGGGGGTGAATGCTGCTGTTTGGGAAGTGGTGAGGTGTAACAGTTCTGGGAAGCAATTATATAGAAATACGTTGATGACAGACTTTGCTCGGACATTTCAAAATGACCATAACATTTCAGATGCTGAGGAACGAGATTGGTCCACTGGTTAGGTTTTGCCGTACCATAGCGCAGCCACATGACTTTTTTGATGAGCATGGAGGAATTTACTCGGCAAATGCGTTTCCATCTCCGTTTAATTTAATTTAATTCCGTTTATTTGCATTAACCCTTTTTCGCACAAGTCAAAAACCACCTCAAGCGAGCGTAAAAACTTTTTTGCGAATTAAGGGATTTTTATTCGAAATTTGCCGTTTCCATCACTCGTTTCTGATTTGATACTTCAAAATGCGCATAAAAACAGGGTGATGGAAACACTGTTAGTGTATAAGGGTGGGGTCAAGTTGTTCCGCGGCTAGCCAACGTAGAACATAGGCAGGCATTATGCAAATGTGTCACCCCATGACATGTAGCCATCACGGAAGTGTGATTCGAATTACTGACGACTCGTTTAGGCTGTTCAGAGTTGATTCTTTCTTTTGGGAGACAATAACTTTATCATGCACTTTCGGTTTTACAACTTTGCAGAACGTTTACATTCATATACAGCTACATTACACACTGCACGAAAGGCAATATTCGAAATGGCATGATAGGGGCACTTTAAATGGGCGGTTTATGGCCAGAATCTTGCCATTAACACACATTCTGTTTGAGCTGTGCTTCATACATCGCCACACGACTGAAAAACAGACAGTGGACTTTTCTTTGTCCATGAAATTCCGCTGAAATTTCTTTAATGTGACCGAACCTTAAATAGGCTGTTCATGGATAGAATATTGCCCATTTTCAAAAGTCTGGGACGAGACTACACCTTTCTTAACCCCTGTACACTCTCTACAGGTGGAATGTGCTCGGCCTGCAGGGGGCGTTGCTTAGTCATTTTGTGGAGCCGGTGTACCTGTACAGCCTGACGGTGGGCAGCCTAAGACACACGGGTCACTTCTCCAGGATGATGAACCACAGGTTGGAGAGAGTCGGTCCTCTGCCTACCTGCTACCACCGTAACCAGCCTCTACTGAGCGGTATGTCCTTTAAACCTTTCCCTTATTCATCTTCTAAATGTTAGCAAGACTCTGAACAACAGAGTTAACAGCCGTGCTTTTTATAGTCCCTGCTGACCAGTAGATCCCTGTATACAAGCATAACTGGTCTCACTCGCACCTCTCCAAGTGGGATTCTAATCATCATCAATCAGCATGGGAGGCTAAAGATGGTGTGAGAGTAATAGAGGCCAAGTAGTAAGAGCTGTGCTTGTAAACCTCACTCCCTAGCGACTTGTTGGCACACCATGCCAGTTGACTCTGGTTTAAATCCCACTCTGAGCTGTGCAAGTAGGACCAGTTACACTAGCAAACTCAAGGTTGTGGGTTTGAATCCAAGGGAACACGCATATTAACAAAATGTATGGCTTGAACGCATAGTTAAACCTAAGACCATGCCAATGCTTTAGCAGACGTGACCTTATGCGCATGGAGGACACTCTGTCTCGCTCCATCACTTTGTTAAACTGCTCTCCTGAGCCTCAGTATGGCAGACGGACTGTTCTATTGGATCTACCCATCCTCCAAATCAATCTCATCAAACACCTTATCACTGCCATTGAAGAGGAGAGCGATCCATTCACTCTTTCTCTCACGCCCAGTGGGCCGCACGTCTCCGGCACAGCCCCTTTGACCACCATTGATGAGCTTCTCTTCCTTTGTCTGGATTCTATTGTTGGGGAAAATGGGCTGGTTATTTTAGGCATCGCCATCATAAAGGGCGCAGAGTTCCCAAGAAGCGGCCGAGATCTCTTATCGTAAGGGAAGCAAATGATCCCTTCAGTCAGGAAGCTAAAATGAGGCTGTCCTCAGTGGTCTTACCTGCGCTTAACGCTCAGATGCTTTAGCACAGCAGACATATTATCTTAAATACAGCATCACATTTAGTGTTTTAGCAGCATTCTTGTGTAAAATACTCTGCATGATGTATAGACAACATCATTAGTGACAGTAAATGAAGACAGCTTGAGGGAAAATAAAAATGACTGGTATTTCCTTCAAACTTTTCCTGTGACTCATTATTTGTATATCATCGACTCATTATTTAGTTTCACTTATGCGCAGGGGAGGTCATTAAATTGTGTTTTACTAAATGCACGTTGCATTTTATAATGCAGATGTTAGATTAAAGCTCCAAACAACAGCATGTTTACAAATAAGCTATATTTAATAAATGTGTGAATACGAAGGTGAATGAAGGTTGAGAAATATCATTCAAATTATATACACACAGAGTACATGAGATGAAAACTCTGGACACATTTGTCTTCAAGAAAAAAGTTTTATTCTACGTGATGGAGGTTGCAATCTACTGGTCCGAACAGAATGAGTATGAGTGAAAAATAAAGTCTGGTGCGAGCTATGCGACAGCCAGCTTCAACAATGCATGTAAATCCTTTAGACTGAATTTATCGATGTATTGTTTATGTACAAGAAAGTAAAGGAACAAAAGACAAACTGCTTTGTGAAGCAGTAGCGGTTAGTAAACAAACTTCATACATCCAGGCCAGTAGGTGTCAGTATATAGTCAAGAGCTACTCAAAAAAAGAAAAGCTAGTAAAAGATTACTGATAAACAGAACTTTATAAGCACACCTTTAATTAGCTTAACCAAATTACATAACTATCTTAAGCAGTAAGACTTTCATTATCAACAATCTTTAATAGTATAACGCTAGTCAATCTGCTTCACCAGCTCAGTTGTGCTAGTTCACCTGCTTCTCCAGCAACAAAAGAATTCACCAACATAAACCAGATTGAACTAGCAATTGGACAAATGTTTCAGACTGGAGACTCATGTAGGTAAAAGTGCCGTGTCTAGATGGTAAACGTTGTACTGCGAAACTCTTGCATGATTCTCTCTAACCTGCTCTTTGTTAGCAAAATTGAGACTGTGTATGACTTTACTGAGGATGTCCTTTAAATACAGGTCACATACTTTTACATATCACTTTTAGAAGATATGAAGTGGCACTTAAGAGTAGCCGTATGTCAAACACAGTGATCACATTTAGCAGCATCTTGTGTAAAATACTCTGGATGATGGATAGACGACAGCATTGTGACTGACAGTAAATGATGAAGCCAGCTTGAGGTAAAATACAAATTAAATGCTCTATTACTGACATATAATGGATAAACCAAATGCAGAGTATGAAATGACACTGTTCATAAGTGAGCGAGGGCTTGAGAAAGCAGCTGCGTTACGGCATAAAAGGATATGCACATTATTATAGCAGACAATTTATTCCACCTGTTTAGATGCACCGAATAGAAAATCTGAGATTTGCAGGAGGATTAAAGGAATAGTTCAATCAAAAATTAAAATGCTGTCATTTACCAAATGTGTATGACTTTCTTTCTACTGTGGAAAACAAAAAGAGATATATTACACAATGTCCAGGTTGCTTTTTATCAGGATATGAGCTCCAGCATCTTATACGTTCCACAGCAGAAAGTTAGTCAAGTTATATCAACACTCTCCGCAGATTAGTAAGTGTAGGGTGACCATACGTGCCATTTTCCCAGGACGCGTCCTGGCCAGGATTTGTTTTGGCTTTGTTTTCCTGTTATCATGCTTGCTGAAGGTAATGATCGAAAAGTAGTTTGACCAATAACATGCAAGCATTGTACATAATGGACCAATCATGGCGTGTGAGAAGGTGGGATCTACGGTCAAAGCGATGCAATTTACGCGTACATATTAGGTGTGTTCGACTTAAAAGCAGTGTGGCTCAGACCGATCAGTGTTTGACATCAAAGTACCTCGAGAGCGTTTCGAAAGCATAACCGTCTGTATGGTACTTTGATGTCATACACCGATCGGTCTGCACACGCAAACAAAGCCAAAACCTAGATATTTTAGGCAATATAGAAATCCTGGCCAGGACGCGTCCTGGGAAAATGGCACGTATGGTCACCCTAGTAAATGTGCTACCGCACTATATCGCCATTGTGTCTCACATATAGCATTTACAAGTCAGCAGTACAGTACATGGGCATGCTATGATACTCTCCACTTTAAGAAAGAAAGAATGCCATGCTAATTGGTGTAGCGATGCGGCAATGATTGAGGAGCCCGAGAGATCCTTTGTGCCTGGAACCAGTGTTTACCTCAAAGATAGCACAGACGACACACAGACATGCTCGCCTGCTAATGAAACACTTCAGCAATCACATGCTAAATAGAACCTCCCTCGAGTGCTCTTTCTTACCCGTCTTGCTTTCTTTCGCTCCCTCTCTTTTCTCCTATACACAGGCCTGAGCAACAGCGACTGCAGGCAGCAGGGGAAGTCCGTGTGTTACAGTGTCAATTGGACGGCAGGTGACACCCAACTGGAGGTGCTCAACGCGTCTACTGGGAAAAGAAGAGACTCCGGGGCTCCGTCCAGACTTTGCAAGCATGCGCTTTTTGCACGTTGGATCAGACTCTATCGCAAGGTGAGCTCAACTTGGCATGCTGGATTAGAACTTGAATACTTCCATACTATAAAGCAGGCGAAAAACAAGTACACAAAAACAGAAGTATGTCCGAAATCATAGTATTTGAAAAACATACCCGGATGACCTACCACTTCCACTGAGATTCTGGAATGTGCAGTTGACACTTCACTATCCCATGAGACCAAGGGAATTGATTTATGAAAGGCAGTGAAGTGACACAGCTGACACTGGTACCGTAGGTCACATGACCGTAACAACATGGTGGATGTAGTGTGTCTGAATTTCATTCATGCAACCCATATTCGTACTATATAGAACAGTGGTTCTCAACTGGTTTGGCCATTGGACCCACATTTTCCCATGGTCATCAAGCCACGACCCACATTTTTAGGAGATATATATAAAGGCAAAATTATTTCACAAAAATTGTTACCATGGTGAATACACAATACTAACATGAAACATGGAAACTGCTCCTGAATAGAATGAATATCGTACCTTCATGCAAATCCTTCCCAGCTTACACATGAAGTACCAGTTATGTGATTTCTTTTGCGCTTTAGTGAAATTATATACAGCGCGCCCGCATTTGCGCGTGCAATTGACCTATCGGTAAGCCCCTCCCCTCGAACGCAGATGAGCCAATGGCAGTCGAGTATCAGTTGCACGGAGAGCGAAACTCCGACATCTGTAGGTTTCAGCGCCATAGAGAAACATAGGAAGATCTGAAGCTTGCATCGTTTTTATGGGGTTTATGCTTCAAAAATGGAAAAATTATGTGCCTGGGGTACTTGTAACAGTGATTCCAGGTATCATGAGAGGATAGACAATGGAATTTATTTTATTCTATTTCCTAAACCCAAACAAAACGGAACAGGAAACAGAACGAAACAAGGCAGAACTGTCTTGCGACGCACTTTTGGGTCGCGACCCACCAGTTGAGAAACACTGATATAGAACATACTTTTAATGGTCACAAAGTTAAGTTCAAATTTAAATGTAGTACCTATTCAGACAATATCTAATTTTGTACGCACTGATAGTGTTTACATCTTAAATTGTTAAATGACGTGTGAAAACAATTCATAACAAAATAAAGTAGGCATTGCATTCTCAGTGTTGCCAGCAGGGGCACTATAGCTAGCATTAGTGTAAACTGAAGAAATACCCAGATTTATTTCCAAAGGGGCTTTCGCACCGCATAGTTCTAGGATCTCAGTTCTAGGAACTAGCCACTAGGGGTGCGTTTCCCAAAAGCATTGTTAGCTAACTATTGTCGTTACTTCCATTGAACTCTTATTTGTAATGACGGAACTTGCGACCATAGTTGCTTTTGGGAAACGCACACCAGCACGGTGGTTCCTAGAGAACCAATTTCCCCCTCGGGCAGTTTTCCTGGTTGCATTCGCACTGACAACAGGAACTCTGAAGCGGTCGATTGAAAGAGCATGAAAATCTGACTAAATCTCCGATGGCAACTTGCAGTGTTACATATCATCAAGGCTGAGAAAAGAACACAATGCTGCAGACAACAGGTAGCTAAAATGCCGTTATCACTGTTTTCCATGTTCGTGGAGTAAATATTTTTACATGGCTTTTTAAAAATGCCAGGTAGCCGGAGTTTGGTATGCGTTTGGCCAATCAGCGTACACTTACATCACAGGTAGTTCCTATAGAACTGTTTTAGACCCTACTCTGAAGTAGGAGCTAATTTAGTTCCCCCAAACGGAGTTCCTAGAACTAAAACCATTCCTAGTTCCTGTGGTGCGAACATGCCAAAAAGCTTGAACTTCCGCCAGTAGTTCTAGGAACTATGAAAAGGTTCCTTTGGTGCGAAAGCCCTTCAAGATGCTACCTGAATGCCACTAACCAAATTATGTTAGCACAATGTACCATACTATAGCCAAACGTTCATCACGAACTATGTGCCATCTTAAAAAGTATGCAGTGTTCAGTACATACTGTGCAGTATGCAGAACACTAGTACTCCCATTACGAACATAGCCTTAAATTCGGAATGAAATGTAAGTTGTGATCGTGTTTTGATGCATATACAAGATCCCCTATTGTGATGTATGAACCGGCTTCACAAACAAAGGAAAAAATCTAGGGTGGGACTTGATTTTGTCCATTGGGAGTTGTGTTTTTATTGTTTGCCAATTGTCGCAATCTTATATGAGTGACAGGCTGCTGGAGGGCAGGGATTATTGTCCCGTCCTCACCCCAGTGCACACGTCATCAGAGAGGAGTTCATTGTGAGAGGGAGGTGAAGTTAATCGTCAATATCCATTTCATGGTGACTAAGTCCTGTTCACACTTGATACACAACAATAAATCTGAAGTCACTGTGCTTTTGATATACTGCCTGCTCCACCATAGTAGTCTATGTCTGGTCACCAGGGATGCCATAACATGGGGAAAAATGTTTAGCCGCAGCTTAGAAACACGCCCCTGCTGGTCACTGTATCTTTAGAGTTCACTTACTGCAAGCAGTTTGAGGTTAGGGATCTCGATCAAGGTCACAGTCAATGGACCCTTGCAGAGTTGAAACCTAGGACCTTTCAATTACCAACCCAGTTCCAGTGGCATTTCCTCAGGTCAATATAAAGAACTAGTTGAGGATGAATAATTCTGTTTTTATTAACCACAACAGACAGCTCCCATTTGTTATGAGATGGGGGGAAAAAAAGCGTAGGGCAGAATTAGGCCCTCATCATGTAAATGTATGGGAGAGATGCCGGCTGCTGTACCAAATGCTGGCAGTTAAAATCTAATGACTGTGGAAATGGTAATCATCTTGAAAGCACTTGAGCGGCCTCCCATGGCAAACGCTCAGCGCTCGCAGTCAGGGACGCAAGAGCACACACGCTAATCTCCAAAGAAACTTTTCTTTTCTCCGAGCCCCTCCGTTCACCGCTCCCTCTTTTTGCTCACACCGTTTTTTCGTGTGTGTGAGTGTGCGACAAAGAAACGCACAAAAGCACGGAGAATGTTCAATTGCTTGTGAAATTTAAATGGAGAGATTACACAGCTGCTCAAACGCCACGTTTGTGCCGGCTCATTCGTTTTGTTTTGCACTCTCACCATCTCTTCTGTCTGTCCCATCCCTCTCTCCTTCATTGCTTCTTTTGTTTCCTCTCTCTATAGCTGGTGGTCCGTGGGGCGAGTGGTACGCCGCTGTACTGTGAAGCGAAGCAGGCGGCCGGCACCTACCAGACTGTGAAGCTGCAGTGGTTGAAGGGTCTACAGGAAGCAGGATTAGGGACCTGGGTCAGAAAACCTCCAGAGCAGGAAAACTTCACTCTGACTGTATGAGTGCGGAAGCCTGACATCGTCACCAAAACCACCTTCACCTTGCAACCAGTCGCCACAGAAGCCCTATTTCACCCCTAAAGTCAACAACATCCCACTGCCAAAAAATCTCCACAGGGAGATGACAGGAGTCACAACTAGGTGGTAAACCTTGTTCTGTCAAACTCTCGCAAAATGTTGCTACCAAGGTAAGGATGAGGCACGGAAGAATTTTGTACCTTGCCTTTTATGGCTTCTGTAGGGAGGGGTACGATTAGTGTTTTTTTCCAGACCAGTAAAGCGCAAACCGCCCCGCAGCCGATTCTATAGATTTCATTGGTCATGTCAGTCACAATGCTGAATACTAACCCTTAGCCTGAACCTGAGTAACCTAGCGTTGGAAGCGCATCCCTGATACATAGCATTACTATTTGTTGCAATTAAATCCCTGCCAAAAGTCTGGACTTTAAGTCAGGTTGACTTTGTGATAGGGTTGACCAATGACATAGACTGAGGGGAGGGATATGCGCTTAACTGATATATAAAAATAAAATAAAAAACGTGTATGGTTAATGTTCCGACATCATGAAAGATTCTACAGTATACCCCGGTCCTCAACATTTGATTAAAACATAGAATAGTGTACCACCTTGTTCTAGCTTATTAAAAAAAAAGTTTCCCAACCACCGAGTGCTATGCTAAGCTAGAAGGCTAAGCTAAGAACAAATTCAACACAAAATGATTTTCTAGCATTTCTAATCAGGCTCAGAATTGAATACCTAAAAAGTTATGGAATTGCTTTTGTGTCCAAAGAGGATAGGATCTTGCAGGACATCGAAAGCAATGGATTCCACTGCTAGGGCTGTCAAATGTTCCGTATAATATGGAATCGTTCCGTATTTAAGGTATCAAATAAGCTTGTCCCATATTCGAAGGCATACGCTGTAAGACCTAGACCATACGTATAACAAATTCTCAATTGATAATTAATCATTCTTTCTGCACAAATCATCGTTTCATGTAAATGTATGGGAGAGATGCCGGCTGCTGTACCAAATGCTGGCAGTTAAAGTCTAATGAGTGTGGAAATGGTAATCATCTTGAAAAGCACTTGAGCGGCCTCCCATGGCAAACGCTCAGCGCTCGCAGTCAGGGACGCAAGAGCACACACGCTAATCTCCAAAGAAACTTTTCTTTTCTCCGAGCCCCTCCGTTCACCGCTCCCTCTTTTTGCTCACACTGTTTTTCCGTGTGTGCGAGTGTGCGACAAAGAAACGCACAAAAGCACGGAGAATGTTCAATTGCTTGTGAAATTTAAATGGAGAGATTACACAGCTGCTCAAACGCCACGTTTGTGCCGGCTCATTCGTTTTGTTTTGCACTCTCACCATCTCTTCTGTCTGTCCCATCCCTCTCTCCTTCATTGCTTCTTTTGTTTCCTCTCTCTATAGCTGGTGGTCCGTGGGGCGAGTGGTATGCCGCTGTACTGTGAAGCGAAGCAGGCGGCCGGCACCTACCAGACTGTGAAGCTGCAGTGGTTGAAGGGTCTACAGGAAGCAGGATTAGGGACCTGGGTCAGAAAACCTCCAGAGCAGGAAAACTTCACTCTGACTGTATGAGTGCGGAAGCCTGACATCGTCACCAAAACCACCTTCACCTTGCAACCAGTCGCCACAGAAGCCCTATTTCACCCCTAAAGTCAACAACATCCCACTGCCAAAAAATCTCCACAGGGAGATGACAGGAGTCACGACTAGGTGGTAAACCTTGTTCTGTCAAACTCTCGCAAAATGTTGCTACCAAGGTAAGGATGAGGCACGGAAGAATTTTGTACCTTGCCTTTTATGGCTTCTGTAGGGAGGGGTACGATTAGTGTTTTTTTCCAGACCAGTAAAGCGCAAACCGCCCCGCAGCCGATTCTATAGATTTCATTGGTCATGTCAGTCACAATGCTGAATACTAACCCTTAGCCTGAACCTGAGTAACCTAGCGTTGGAAGCGCATCCCTGATATATAGCATTACTATTTGTTGCAATTAAATCCCTGCCAAAAGTCTGGACTTTAAGTCAGGTTGACTTTGTGATAGGGTTGACCAATGACATAGACTGAGGGGAGGGATATGCGCTTAACTGATATATAAAAATAAAATAAAAAACGTGTATGGTTAATGTTCCGACATCATGAAAGATTCTACAGTATACCCCGGTCCTCAACATTTGATTAAAACATAGAATAGTGTACCACCTTGTTCTAGCTTATTAAAAAAAAAGTTTCCCAACCACCGAGTGCTATGCTAAGCTAGAAGGCTAAGCTAAGAACAAATTCAACACAAAATGATTTTCTAGCATTTCTAATCAGGCTCAGAATTGAATACCTAAAAAGTTATGGAATTGCTTTTGTGTCTAAAAAGGATAGGATCTTGCAGGACATCGAAAGCAATGGATTCCACTGCTAGGGCTGTCAAATGTTCCGTATAATATGGAATCGTTCCGTATTTAAGGCATCAAAAAAGCTTGTCCCATATTCGAAGGCATACGCTGTAAGACCTAGACCATACGTATAACAAATTCTCAATTGATAATTAATCATTCTTTTTGCACAAATCATCGTTTGAATTGCGTTCATAGCCATTTGTGCAAGACTTTAAGACCTTGCAGAATCCTTTGTCGTCTAGTCGCTCCGCTTCACAGCTTAAAGCGATTCCGTTTCACCGTCCACGTTTTGATTTCGGCAAATCCGTTTTGGCGAATGCAAACAATGTGATATTGATCATAAGAACAACATCCAGCTAGGCAAGAAAACATGCAGTCTACCTGAGGGAAGATGTCTTTCGTTAGTTAATATTGTTAATAGAGAAGAATTTTAACTTCTAGTGTGTCTTAAACTTGGACCTCAATACAGAAGGACAAATTCAAGCACCAAAAGCAGCCCACACTCTCTAAGTTCTTTTTAATTGAAAATTATTCATTTTCATTCATTCAGGCTACATGGTTGCAATAACATTTTAGTTCAAAATTTGAAGTGCCATTGTTTAAAAAAAATGCTTTATTGACTAACGTTTCATAGATGTTCAGTTGTTATGCTTTTAAGTTTTGTATGCATGTAATTTCACAGAACAGTACACAGTTCAACATAACATTAAACGATAATGTTCTTGTAATGAGTTCCAGAAGCTTCCGGAATACCTTTAGTGTGAAGGTAGATCATATTAAATTTGCTTTGTCCTCTTGTGTAACACTGCCAAGATTTAATTTTCTCAGCATTTCCATACACTGCACTACAGCGGAAGTTGCATTGGCCATTGAGGCCAAATGCAGAAGCGATCGTGCATACAGTCCATTATGGCATGTCGATTATCGCAAAATAATTTTGATTTGTCCATCAGTATTTAAAAACCAAAAATATGGAAGGTTAGGGTTACCCATAGGGGGTGCTTTGTTCTGGGAAACAATGTATGTAGCTTTCGCAAGACTTTTGGCAGAACAAGGATTACCAGCTACGGAATTGGCAACAAGGGGAAATGTGAGAAACGGGGACAATTTTCTCACAACACAGCAGATGGAAAGATGGTCACCTCTCTCTCTCTCTCCACTGACGGCTCTCCTGTAGCCGTCATTCAAACGTGTGTATGTGTGTTAACCTTCGCCAAAGTGAAAGGCAGCCGCCGTCTTGTCATTATCTGCCCATTTCCGGATGGCCTGCCCCTGAAGAGCTCCGAAACGCTGTCCAATTAGAGGTCCTGTCAGAGTGATGCGTCCCTCATTTTCCTCTCTCTCCTTTGCCTTTGGTTCATTGGTACAAATTCGAAATGGGGAAAAAACGAGGGAAACGAAAAAACAGTAGGGGTTGACATTGCAAAGACAGGTTAATTCAGCTCCATTTCAGGTGTGCAGGTTAGAGGTTATGGTGACAAGCTAATGTAAATGGTGCCATTACGGCACCCCAGGTCTCTTACCGTTTTTTGAGCAGGGACAGCTTGCTGCTTTAATACCTCAATCCCGCTCACCGGTGACGTGTCATTTCTCCGCTGGTTTCTCTTTGTGTGTCAGTGCTGTATCTTTACACGGGGTGTTCCGGGCAGAGACTTGCGTGAAAAGAAAGGGAAACGTCGGCGGTTTGATGTAGGCACAAAAGACGACAAGAAAATGGAGTTAAGAGTGCGAGTAGAGATCCGTGATTATGGAGTAATTTGTAGTTAATGGATTCATTTACAAACCGAGCACATTACAAATTGCTTCTTAAAGCCCAACCCAACCTTTGAAACGCATGCCACATTAACCGAGGTTTAACCAATGCATTTGTTTATTTAATTTACAGCTACATCCCATTCATGTCTTTTTGATTTAGATGTGCGCTTTTCTGTGGTTTAGTATGCGTGCTTAAACTTTGAATTATTTCGTCAAGTTATCATTTTGTCTGTGAAGATGTTTATTGTTGTATACAAATACAATCATATTACTCCATGATTATTATATTTTAATTGACTCGCAACATTTTAATGGTTGATTCCTTTCTTTCCATAGTTGGTATTGCATAATTTGTTACTGCTTTGAGTATATTATCACAGCACATTTTTTTTTTTCCATAAGCTTTCAGTATGTATTTTCAAATGCCACTTTGTCAACCTCTGCTGAGATGTCATGTATCCACCCCTTTACAAACAGCTCAAGATGTTACAGGGACACCTAGTGGTGGCAAATATATTTAAGGTTTTCTCTGACCCGTTTAATGTCTGATGTTATGTTTTAAAAAATGAATCCATCCCAGCTTAAATGCGATCATTTTGTCTACTAATAGAAATGGAATATCAATTGAAAGATGGTGAAACTGACAGATCGAAATATGTAACTCGGCATTACCTACCTTTGGCTTCTTTCCGTTATCTCAGGGGTAGGCAAGTTCGGTCCTAGAGAGCCGCAGTCCTGCAGAGTTCAGCTCCAACCCTAATCAAACACACCTGAACAAGCTAATCAATGTCTTCAGGATTACTAACGCTATAGGCAGGTGAGTTTTGCTTTCAGGGTTGGAGCTGAACTCTGCAGGACTGCGGCTCTCTAGGACCGAACTTGCCTACCCCTGCGTTATCTGGATTTATTTTTTTCCCCCAAAATGTATAAAAGGTTCAACTTGATGATATTGAATGGAATAATCTGTTTCATAGTTATTTCCACCACACTGACAACCCAGTTTGAAATTGACATAATTGGAAAGACTGTTAATGCACGTCTGTCTTATATGTACTTGTTTCACTTACCTTTTTTTTTTTTGGCAACATTTGTTTTTTGTTTGGGTTGAACCTTTTCTTCATTACAACAGAAACATGAAAAGCCCCAGACAAAACTACATCTCAAGTAATTCAGTCGTAACAAGGCATGATTGAATGGCAATATTGTACTAATGTACATTTTGTAAAAATTTGTAAAAAAAAAAAAAAAAGAAAAAATTAAAAGAATACCTTAAAGATATCTCTCAATAAAGTGTAAATTTTAACCCCAAAGCATAAGCTGCTAAGGTGTGTACATTGCACTTGAGTTAAAAGTGAATGTTTATGTGAATAAAAACAAAAATGTTGTGTTATACTTTGACTTGATTCTGTTTGTTGTACTGTAAAAAATACTTTTTTTTTTTTAAAGTAACACGTTACTTAAAGCCTTTATGTATAATGCATTATAATAGTTTAAATGCATTAATTATGCCTTGTAATGCGCCTTGTAATGCACCTTATAATGCATTCTACAATCTCATAAATAATTGTAACCACAGTTAATACATTATAACACGCAATGTAAAATACTTCATCAATTCACGGTTACACTATGCATTTTAAATTCGGTTGTAATATTTACGACAAGATATAATGTAATACAATGTACATTTTGAATATTTATAATGCATTATACCCTCTAATAACCCTTTAAAATGCATTATACATTTACACTTTAAGTAAAGTATTACCTATATATATATATAGTAATATCAGAATTTTTTGTACACAGAATAAATTAATTTGTAGATTCAATCAAAACAATACAATCGTTGAAAGACATCTTCACTTTATTCTGAAGCCCAGCAGTGAATGATTTTGATGCTATATCTCTACATTATTATATGATGCAATATGTTTCTCCAAAACAGCAAATTAAGTTGCTCTCAAATAAAAAAAGTGAAATGGCTCAATACAGAACACCCCACAGAACATTCTATCAAGTTAAAGACAACTAAAATGTTGGAGATCAGACTCCTTTTTAAAGGACGTTCTGATGGGTCATATGCGTTGTTGTTAAGACAGCTGGATAAAAGATGAGCGTTTTCTATTTGCGTACATTTCAACTCTAAAGCCAAATACAGTCCATTAAACATGGACGTCACACAAATATATAAACATCGCATAATAAACATCTTTTTGTTAGACCTAACAGATTTAACAGACTGTCTACGTGAAAAGAACTGACACTTTCCACCAAGACTTCTAGCACAGTCCAAAGTAGTTCTGGTGAAAGCCCAGTAACGATACCAATTGTAACACACTGATGGAAGAGCTTCCATTTAAGGATTATTGACGAATGTCGCAAGTCATTCAAGCGAGGTTTCTGTAGATACGGCTATACACAGTGGTTCACACATCACAAGAAGTCCAAAGTACATCAGGAAGCCTTTCAAGCATCAGGAGACCACACTGAGCCAGGCATTGACATTTGGTCCGATGATTATCGACGAATATTACAATATCGAAAACTCGCTACCGCAAACGACTGTACAGCAGTGAGCAACACGCGAACTTATTCTAAATTCAGATGCGTTGATTCAAATATTTACTTCTACACGACTTGAAAGCCCTTGAAATGGAAGTGAACATCAAACGTAGGGCTTCATAAACAGTGAATACGTTTTTTTTTTTGTCGTTTTCATAGGGTGAACAAGATTACACCGCAATTATACAGCATTTTGCTTCACATATTTGACAAGAGAGGTGGGTTTGTCATGCAAATGGACTACGGCAATACTGACAGAAGCTGATTGGCCGCTTGAATGGCATTTAGAACATCAAGAAGGTGCGGATCCATAAATGCGATTGCCGATTTCCGTTCACAAAGGCAGAGTTTCTTTTGCACATCTCATCTCTATAAAAAGCAAAGCAGAACTCTATACAAAACGAAAGAAAAAAAAATCTAAAATGCTATCGTAAAATAAAAAGTCATCTGTACAAAGAACATCGCACAACAAAAATACCACTAAAGTGAAAACTTACTTGAGTGTAACAGCGGCAGGCCGTGAGCGAACGTTTCGGCAATGTCCCGGTCTCGCAGGATTCACGAGTCGCAATTTCATGCAAACATGTAAAAACGGGGTAACAAGACTGGGAGGAAGTTCACAACACTATATGACCTCAGAGCAGACAGCGCAGGGCTAGATATGCAGAATATCCATGAAATGACGTTTTCCACACACGTCAGAAGGCGTGACGGGATGATGACCACGGGATAGCGACCGTAGACGCCAACTGGGAGGAAAAACGGAGTCTTATCACACACAACGTGAAAGTGTGCTTTAAAAATCTACTGCAGGTGTGGCACTGACGAACATGTTCAGTTGTGATTACGTGGATGGGCCATGTAAAGCTTGTGTACGTGTGAAGTGTGTCACTTCTCTTGGAGCAGGGCAGGGATGTTGATGTTCCAGCCGATGGCCTGGCGGTCGAAGCCGCAGGTGAACAGATTGCAAGCTTGGTTCTCCTCGTTCCAGGCAGAGCAGCACACCATGCGCCGATGGCCCTGCGTGTCAAATGCAATTTGGTTGTCAGGACACATAAAAAGGTACAAAACATGCTAATGCAATAGTTAAAGTAGATGTGGCACAAAACCTAGTAAGCTTCCTTTCTGCCTTCATGGTTCGATACTAAAATGGACCCTTGTTAGAGACTTTGCTAAGAGCCACTCATGTGCTGCAAGGAAATAACACATCTCAAGAGAATCATGTGTGGGGCTCGACTAACGTTCACTGTTGATTCTGGTGATTCAGTGTGTAGCTAGCTAAAGATTTAAAACGTACTTTATGGATATGCTGGATGCACAAAACTGGATATTATTATTACAGAGGGTTCAGTCATTTGTTTACTGGGTTAAATTGTTTATAAATCTATCTATATTTAAATATATATTTACAATAGACACAGTTTGAAATCAATATAGTATTAATGTAAATATATATTAGAAAAATTAACTTTAAATTCTAAAATAAAAATATCTACAATAAAAATTCTGCTATAACTGTAAATAGGAATACATATTGCTAAATCTGATTATACATTACCATTGATTCAAAACTTTAAGATTTGTAAGTTTTTGGTTTTATTTATTTATTGTTGTAAGAAATTAATAGGGATGCACCGTAATGAAAATTCTTGGCCGAAGCCAAGAACAAAATGAAACACTGGGCTGAAGGGCAGAATACCAAACACAGTTTTTCGCCTTTTTTCTCATGTATTTTGCCAATTTTTTCAACATTGCATAAATTAAAAAGTCAAAAGGTGCTTTTTACTGTTTTGTCTTGCTTTTCAAAGAAAAAAAAACAATTACAGAACAACAATTTAAAAATATTTACTTGACACTGAACATTTTTTAAAGGCAGAGTAAGTGATTTCTGGTAGCCAATGCGCAGACGTTTTCCTCTTTTGTTTTTTATCCGCCATCTCTATCTTTCTGTCACTCGGCTCGGCTAATGTCCGTCCCATGCACTGAACTCGCTCTCCTCCACATCACGAGTAGACACGCCCCTTATTGCTGATTGGCTACAAGTTTGTTTTGCGATTCAGCCCGAATCAGTTTTCTAAAGTGTTTTTGAAAAATCACTTACTCTGCCTTTAACATTCTAGAGATTACACCAACAAAGCACAATTTAACTTAAAATTAAGTTAGTAAAATAATGTTTTTGGGCCATTTTTGAGACCCCCTTCTTGAATCAGGCATGTATTTTTTACTGTACAAATAAATGCATCCTTGCTGAGCAGAAGAGACTTCTTTTAAAACATTAGAAAATATGCGAACACTGTGTGAATGTTATAATAAATGTATTAATAGAGCTGTTGTAAATATTATCATCATTATTGTCTTTTTTATTTTATTTTACAGAACAACAGTAAAATTACAATACTAACATTTATGAACGCTGATGGAGTTCTTGCAGGAAGATCTCAGTGCTTCTTTTTGCAACAACAGCAGATTTATAAATGAGTCTCATTACGAATTTGATAAGATGTTTGACGCACACATCACATTGTTACATCCATGCCTTATACAAATTCATAAAAATGTTACTGAGCAACTGACGAGTAACGCTGTTTCAGTGCAGATTTGGACTTTGAACTCTGGCTAACAAGCAGATAGCATCACTAGCTCGTGCAGCGCTGTTTGAATACATAACATTCTGCATTTTATTTAATTGTTTAAGGCCATTTCGTGATTTCAATCATCATACAGTAACCAGCAACAACCACCCCGTCCTCTTCTCATCAAAAACATGAGATGCAGTACCAAACAGTCTCTTGCTGTCGGTGCTTGTAATGATTTTTGCGTCTTTCTCAGACAGTTTTAAATGCTTCCACACTGCCTTTTGCTGCATTAGTGCGCGCTATTTGATCACATCACGTCATTGTTCGGTACAATGTATTCGGTCTTTTCGCTTATTTCGTTTGCCGAACATTCGGTGCATCCCTAGAAAGTAATACTTTTATTCAGCAAGGATGCATTAAATTGTGACCGCAAAGATATAAAATTACAAAAGATGTCCATTTCAAATAAATGTTCTTGTGAACCTATTAACGTCTAAAAAATACTTACAAAATATGAAAAAATAACTTTTTTTAACAATGATAATATGAAATGTTACTTGAGCACATATCAGTCTATTAGAATAATTTATGAAGGATCACATCACCCTAATATATTTAGATTAACATTTTAATATTCATATTTTAAATCTATTAAAGTAGAAAACAGTTATTTTAAATTGTAATAATAACTATCATTAAAAGTATTGTTTTATTGTATTTTTAATCAAATAAATGCAGCCTTAGTGAGCATAAGAAACCTCTCTGAATAACATAAAAAACAACTTGAAACCTTTCAACAGTAGTATATATTTATTCTTTACATATAAATATTATTTTACTGTTTTAATTAAATGTTTTTTGCTTAGTAAATTTTTTTTAGCTAACAACAGGCTTGTTGCAAAATATGTTCTCAAAAGGAAGTCAGAAAATGGCAAAACTTTGCTACCTACAATTTGAAATAACAGAGTTGGCATCATAAAGAAAAAAGCAACTATTTATTATTTTATTTATTTATTTTTTTCCAGAAAGAAAAAGAAACATAATCGGAACTTCTTAGTGGATAAAGAGTGCGAGACAACCTGACAGACATGGTGCAAAAATGAAAGGTAATAAAACCTCCATCTGAATGAAACGTACCTGTCTGTTGCTCCGTGGGAGACGGGCCAGACGGACTCCATTCATGTCGAACAGCCTGACCTGCCTGTTGTCATGTGGCAGAGCGATGATTCTTTGGTTCGCTGAGACGCTTATCCTGCAGGTTACAGCCAGAAAATCAATCAATAAACACAATTAAATGTAAAGAAACAAGCAGCATCTGTTTACACCAAATGCAGAAAGCTTACCTCATTGACAAAGGCTACTTTCACTCCCATCGGTTAAACAATTTCCAAAATAACACTTTGTGCGAACAGCAACTATTGCACTTGATGTAAACAAGATGTTGCCATTTAATAGTGCAAATAGAGCTAGATACTATTTACTAAATGTGCATAATCAACAAAATATATATATTATCCAAATCTTCTGTACTATTCCTAGTTCAGAAGCCTGACTTGACTTCATTCTTTCAGAATATCTTGATATAGAGGAATAAAGTTTCTCAATTTCCCAGAACTTTCTAAAAAACGCACTGTGCTGTCTCTACTTGTTCAGAAACAACAGTCTCCGGAAGCTGTCTTACACCTCACCAACCTGCTGCTCTTACCTATTAACGGCGGAGTCTGTGCGGATGGTAGCAATTGGAGATCTCATGTTCTTCAAGTCCCACACCTTGACGGTGCGATCGTCACTTCCTGACACCACGTTGTCTCCCACGGTGAACACAGCTGACGTCACGGTGCTGAAAGAAACAAACGGCTTTTCAACAAAACCTCGCTCACACACACACACACACACTTCAAACATGCTTCAATCACTCTTTAACACCTCAATGCTAAAAATATCATCCTGAACAAATGCACATGGTTTTCACTAGGGCTGGGTAAAAAATATTGATATCTCGATAGTAATCGATTCTCATTTTTACGGAACGATATCGATTCTTAAATCCCAAGAATCGATTAGTCTAGCCTGTTTTCAGTTAATGGACAGAACGTTGAAGGGGGCGGAACGTCCCATCCAATAAATAGCAATAAGCACTTTGGTACTTTTAATATGAAGCAAAGTCTCAGATTTCAAATTCTGTCCATTACCATAAACTCAGTCAGATAGAAAAATAAACTGTAGAGAGGGGCAGTTTGCCAAATATATGCACCGTATAACATAATCATTATAAATTTTACTGTTCTTCAGTGTTTCATTTATGTTTGAATAAATCCATCAAGTTTTTATACCAGCCACCATTATGTTTATATAAAAAAAATAAAATAAATAAACCTAATTGAAGTAGAAATATTATTATGTAATTGTAACTTTATTATTAAAAACGTCATTAAGTGAAATTTTAACAAATCAGTTAATTTTAACGTTCAATATTATAGTAATGTAGTGCCACCAACTGACTTTCATGTATATTTTACAGGATTAGTTGAGAGATTTTTTCCCTTGAGAAAATTTGCATGTACTGTACCTGATATATATCCAAAATAATAGATATTGAATCGAATCGAAAGCTTGTGAATGAGAATTGAAACGAATCATGACATTTGTGTCAAAACCCAGCCCTAGTTTTCACGAAGTCAATATAACGTCTTGTAAACAATGTCACGTAACGTCAAATTTACCTCAGAAAAACATATTTGGTGACCATAAACTCAGTCAGATAGAAAAATAAACTGTAGAGAGGGGCAGTTTGCCAAATATATGCACCGTATAACATAATCATTATAAATTTTACTGTTCTTCAGTGTTTCATTTATGTTTGAATAAATCCATCAAGTTTTTATACCAGCCACCATTATGTTTATATAAAAAAAAAAAAATAAATAAACCTAATTGAAGTAGAAATATTATTATGTAATTGTAACTTTATTATTAAAAACGTCATTAAGTGAAATTTTAACAAATCAGTTAATTTTAACGTTCAATATTATATTAATGTAGTGCCACCAACTGACTTTCATGTATATTTTACAGGATTAGTTGAGAGATTTTTTCCCTTGAGAAAATTTGCATGTACTGTACCTGATATATATCCAAAATAATAGATATTGAATCGAATCGAAAGCTTGTGAATGAGAATTGAAACGAATCATGACATTTGTGTCAAAACCCAGCCCTAGTTTTCACGAAGTACACGGTAAGATACCTGTACATATCGCTCTGTAGAAAACGGAAGTTGCAGAAGGTCAAGGATCTCGGCTGCTAATGTGAAGGACACCCATTTAATCCTGATCATGAGAGATGGTGATCTTGCAGTGTAATAATTGCGTTCTTAACTCCAGAACGCTCCAGCAGGGATTGTCCCTGAATCAAGTGTGGCGTAAGGGACTTTGAATGAAATACATCAGCAAAATGGCAAGTCCCCTAAAAGTAACTAGCTCAGCACTCAAGTATTCTTTGAAAGCAAGATAGACTCTTTCTTTTACTGGAATGACAAATTACTGTACAGAGTGACTAGAGAGTGCTCAATGTGATTTGGTTATCTCCACAGTCTTATTCTTTGCCGTACCCAACAGATCAAGAAGCACATCACGTGAACTCCACTTTCTGCATTTCCATTGGTAGTCTATTATTTTATCATCAACAAATAGTTATGACTGACGATCATCAGTGTCACTTCTAAAGGTCAATTCACACTGCACCAGCAGACGCCATCAAACAGACTCGTTCATAGAGTTTTGTCTGATCAGTGTGTTAACCCTGTGACGTCTGAAGCTGTTGGTCAACACTTGTTCTCGGTGTTGAACTGGCATTTGGTCTGCATCTGTATGAGGTGAATTGGCCTTAAGGACTCGAGTCCAACCCTACTAAGCGAATGTTCAGGAGGATTTGGTGCCACTCTACAGTGGCAATGTGGGTCTGCTGAACATTGTTGGGCAGGTAGTATAATAGTCTAGGCTTAAGCGGACATGGTCACCGCCTGATGTATGGTGTGCACAAAATAGCACAGTCTGGCAGAACTCACCGGTTCCAATCTGACTGGTTCACTTCAACGCAACTTCAGGGATTCACAACCTTATCTCATGACGAAAACGTACCTGTGGGAACTTTTTCGCAAGACACAAAATACATAGTGCCATGTAAGTTTGGTGACATATTCAATATGAAATGTCCACTGGGTGGCGCTGAAATAGTGTTCGTATTTTTTCGCCGGAACAGATGAACGTACATATGGTACATTTTATATGACGTTGGTTTTGTACGTGTCACCGCAGTTCTGACTTGAAATGTCCATTGAGTGGCGCTATAACTCTAATGCTCCATGACGTTTTAAAATAATGTACCATCTGCACTACACCTAAACCTACCCGATAGTATGAACAAAAGTGAATGTGATGTAAAAACGCAATTGCAAGCATTCCGTTTTAGCTTGTTTTTCAATGTCTCATCTTTCAGCTTTTTCATTGTGTCTTTTTTTTTTCCACGACATTACCCAAGGATTCCGCATCCTAAGTCAAATTCCATGCCGGCTGAGCTGCCAAGCAAGCTTGTAACATCCAGAAAGCAAAACATATGGAGCTGGAGTCATAACTGTGTATGAAAATGATTACAAGTGCCTGCTGTTTTACCGCCTCTAGTGTTAATTTCTGTTGGAAACCACAGAGATATGTACTTATTGGTACGTATTTCGCATCTTGCGAAAAAGTTCCCACAGGTACGTTTTCGTCATGAGATCAGGTTGGGGGTTCAAAGTGGACAGATTTGGATTATACTGAGCGACTTCAGATGCATTTACACTGAAAGCTGTTTGCCGAGTAGCTGCATTGCTGACTGCTAGTAGGCGTTCCTATTTATTAAGCCCAGTGGTTCCCAACCACTCTGTTCCTGGACTCCAGCTCATTAGTAGAGACTCCAATACCTGAAATGGGTGTTTCAGACTAAGGAGATATGCAAAACGTGCAGGGGGGGGGCACCAGAAACATGGTTGGGAACCACTGATCCAGCCAATCATGAGACAGACTATGTGAGCTCCACCACATTGTGAAGATGCATATTAGTAAGTTAAATTCTGATCTTTGTTGAATTGTAAATGATTTCTATCTATTATTTTACTTTAAATTGACATCTGTCAAAGAGTTTTTAAAGCAACTGAAGCAAGGATGTTGCTAGTGAGGGGAAAGGTGGAACTTACTACAGAAGGACCAAAGCTTAAAATAGTAGCCACCTTGTAAACCACACAAGGGGGCCAGAAGGCCTAGCGACTCAAAAGTCAAAATTGTCTATAAAAAGAATCAGAATTGAGGGCATGGAAAGAGGAAATTCTCACTGGTCAACAGTTTCCTTTATCACAGTATGTTACAAGTTAAAATATCTCAACTTTTGGACACATGATGTAGTATCACTTTTCCAAAGCCTTGTGCTTTTCCTCTATATCCAATTTGGAAGTCAATGTTGTGGCAGAATTCTCAAAGCACAAGTCCTAGCTTGCAATCATCTTAAGTGGCCAATTCTTGGCCAGAATAAGCTGTGGACCAGACTTTATTCTGGTAGTCGAAAGTCTGGTAATGTGGGCCTACATGTGACTTCTGTCATGAGGCTTGAGTTGCTACTGGAATTGAATCTTCCCAACAAATTATATTATTGTGATGATGAAATTAAACTCATCTTTCCCTGGTTGGAAGGACCACCCTCTGCTCCTGTACAGGGCATGAGAGCACCAGCAGCTGGGGTAAAATGAGGCAGAGAGAGTGTGTGTGTGATCTGAGACAGTCTGGGTGAACAGCAGGAATGTCAGCAACCCTCAGGGTCACAGCGCACATTTAACTGCTCCGCTCAGCACACACACTTCCATTTAATGGACCTTAATATTTCTAATCTATCACGTCATTCCCTGCTGACATTTCTCTCCTCTTTGTATTCCCTTCTCTCGGGAGAGCGAGGGAGAGAAAAATGAAAAAAAGAAAAGGGCCGGAGTGGTGCTCCGCTCGCCTCTAGCCGTGCTAATTTGAATTGACATGATATTAAGGTTTAATTAGGGGCTAAATTCCGCTGCATTAAAGATTTGGAGTTGGGTTTGGCTGTATTTAACAGCTTTGCTCGGCTCGCTCCGGCACAGTTCACATCCAAAGTGAAGCGTGGAAACGCTTTCTGACATTGCGGGTTGCCACCGGAAAGCGAGGGTGGGGGTAGTGGTGGGGCCGATAATAGATTAAAAGCTTGATTAAAATCCTATTACAACTCAAATGATATTTTGGGAATGTTCCGTTTCCCCTGGGACCACTGACAAGCAAGGTCGAGACTCATTAGAGGAAGAGCTGCATGTGCATTTAACAGAGATCCAGTGCTGGAGTATAATAAGCTCTTTAAAACAATGGTTAATGTAGTTGAATGTGGTTAAAACGCTTGCTGAGACTGGGAAATGTGTTGAAGATGGTTTGAGATGTATGAAATTCATAGTTGTGAATTATAATTATGAAACGTACATTTAAAACAGAATTTATTCCGTGTACACAGTAGTGTCCAAATCCAAACTAGCATGAATTTCTTTCTTCCATGGACACAAAACAAGAATCTCAGAATCTCTTCAATCTGAGTTTATTAAAGGGGTCATATGATGCGATTTCAAGTTTTCCTTTCTCTTTGGAGTGTTACAAGCTGTTCGTGAATAGATATGATCCCTAAAGTTGCAAAGACTAAAGACTCAAACCCAAAGAGATATTCTTTATAAAAGTTAAGACTCGTCCACACCCTCCAAAAACGCATCGTTTAGACACGCCCCCACATGTTTACGTCGCTGTG